TCGTCTTACAGTCTCGCCTCCTCCTCCTCACTTGCCCTCTGCGATAGCCTCTAGCTTTGCTCATAATTGCGAACTTTAAACTATTGCTTCTTGTACATGTGCTCAGAATGTGTGGTGACATTGTGATCCACCCTGAGCTTATTCTGCTTTGCTTGCTCTGCTGATTACACCCCACTTTGGTTATGGGGGTGTGTCAGAATGTTATGCTCTAGCTTGTAGTGGGGTGCTCTATAGCGAGTACAACCCTTCTAGGGTTTGCTATTTGTATCCTCATTCCTGCTAGTGAACTCCCTCTTTGCCTACACTTTCTCTTGCCTAGCTAGGGCTTTCCTAGCTATGGCGCCTTCTTCTAGTGCTTATCTTCACAGGAATTCTCGCATCCCTCTCCGTTCCGTTACGTAGTCAACTCAGAAGCAGGGATGACTCGTCTCCTTGTTAGAAACACGCTCATGAGGGTGGGAAGGTGGTCCCCCTAACGGGCTGGGAGGAGTAAATGAAGAGGCGTATCGCTCACGAGCCCCCTCCCTCAGTCGTGTGCACGACAATCGATCAGTGTCGGGTCAAACGGTGGCGATTGTGATTGTTGAATAGGCGGCGACAAGAGCTGGAGAGGGTTGTGCCTCTTGCCACCCAACCCAACTAACCATGGAACATTCTTTTGTAAACGGGCCGCGAGGAGGGACTCCTTGTTACCAACATACAGACGAGCACTGGCGAACCACACGTCCTTACAGCGCCGCCCTTCATGCCCTTACTACCCGCCTCTGCACTCTCGGGTTTACCAGATCGCACCGAAAGGGATGGGGAACGAACAGGGAACCGGCGATGCTTCATTTGGTGACGTGGGTGAGGCATTGTACCTTGTCATCTGGGCGCGAAGGTGCAGGAGAAGCAGGCGACGGTACGAGGAACAGAAGCTGGCGACTGTTCAAGCTTATCACGTGGTCGAAATCTGACGAACTTGCCTTCGCCCCTTCCGTAGTATTTTCCGACAATATCCCATGACGACAGACCACGTGAGGCTATCATCCTGCGCCCCCAGTGACCTTCTCGTCATTGCCCCCCCGCTTCACGTGTTACGTCGAGTTGGAAAATCTCTAGATTCAACGACGAATGAGAAACGAGTAGGACCCATTTCTAGATTTTTCGTCCTCAGATGCTCGGCGTCGCGTCGCGTATCGGAGATGACGCACACTAACTCGACGCCAAGCCAATCGGTTCAACGCAAGGGGATCCGTCGTTCTCCGTTCGATACTACGACTCCCATCACCCCGCCGCGCTTCGACTCCAGTGCGAGGTTGCGATGCTAGATTTGCCGTTTCGAAGTGCCTCAAAAGGCAAACGACGATCAAGCGCCCGCATCGAGACAGATGGTGGCTGTAGAGCTGCCATCCCGGCGTGAGCAACCCCGCCCGGCATTAAAGATGGGCTCTAGTAGCCGGACTGTGGACCGGGCTCGCGGCTGTGGGAGCTGCCTCGCAATGGTGGAAGCTAGCTGCGAGTCGCAGAGCCGCGTTTCCAGGAGCCCTCTTCGCGTGGGGCGGTTACCAGCAGCCTCGCTCCCCTCTCTCTGGCGCCTTCAAATCGTGGGGCGGCTGCGGCCCTGGTACCCCAAGTAGTTAGGAGGGGAGGGAGTTAAGGAAAGCATTGAAGCTACGACCATAATACTCGCCTTTTTCCTCCTCCATTCTGCATATCGTTTACTCCCACTCGCTCACATCTGTAATGCGGGCCATCGAGGTCGTCTCAGAGCCTTTTCTTGGACTTTCGCGTTGATTCGGCCGGCCTTGGAGTCTTGGGTAGCTCCGCACCAGGAGTAATCTCGCAGTGACTTCAAGTTAAGCACCATCCTTAGCTAACCAGCGAAAGATTTGCCTGCAGAGATGGACAAGCGAGGTCACGTCCTGGATAGAGCAATTACTACTGACCGCTTGGAGAAGTTGTTGGGGCGCCATGGCGAGGGCCCCCACATTGCAGCGACTTCCGAGGCGGCGCCTCAAAGAAGGACCTGCGGAAATGGACATTCCAGACTGTGTTTCCTATCAGGAGGAACCACGGTGTTACGAGAGGGTGGGGGCTTGGGAACTGTGCTGCTGGGGCGGCAGGGCGCAGCCACCATCATCGAAGCCTCCATGATGTGTCCGCCTCACCCCGTTTCGGCCTCTCCAGTTTTCGATCTCGCCCGATCTTTGCCGTTCTTAAGCACGCCAGATGTATCAAATGAGGAGGAAAAGGGTATCTTGGCGGAGCTGTGGAGGCACGACGGGCAAGTTGAAGACCCCATCCTGGCAGGCCTCGTGTATCCGCCCAGCCCACTTGTTGAGGTGCCTCAAGGCCTGAATGCGACAACAAGTCAGCCGCTTTTGAGACGCCATGGACAGCTTGAGAAACTCGCCATGGCACCTTGCATGTGTGAGCGTAGGCCGCCTGCGAATCCCCAGGAGCCCGTGCAGTCTCCGTCCCATTCACATGCTGGAGTCCCTGTTCTGGAACGAGCCGTGGCGGAGCTGTTTCAGCAACAGCAACGGCAGCAGTGGCAGCAACGGCAGCAGCAGCAGCAGCAGCAGAAAGTGGCAGTGGAGAGCTGGAGCGCACATGCTCTCAGCGCCTCTGGAACTGACAGTACGGCGTTAGCACGCGTTGGTGATTCCAACAATACCGTTGACAAACATGAAGTGACCAGAGTAAATAGTCTGCTGGTAACAAATCTTGGTGATAGACATGAAGCAGCATCGGCCTCTCTGGTGCGACAGCAGCAAGTGGCAGTCAGAAGCTGGGTGGCACAGGCTGAGCTGGCAGGGCTGACTCTGCCGCCCGATTTGATCCGAGAATCTGCACATGCCGCCCGTTTTGCGCAGATGCAGATGCAGATGGAGGAGCAAAGGGGGATGGGACATTCGGCTGTGCATGAGAGTCTCGAGTATTCTCAAGGGTTTGCTGAGGTGGAAAAATCGTTTCTGGCTTTCCCCAAGCAGCTGGAGAAGGGTGGCTGCTTAGGTGCAACCCAGGAGCAAGGGGGGATGCTGGAGGGGATGCTGATGCTGGAAGCTTTGATGTTGCAGGATGGGGGGATACAGGAGGGAGGGATGATGTGGGGTGGAGGGATGGAGGGAGAGATGTTGCAGGAGGAAGGGACGATGCAAAGTTGTTCTTTTGAGGCGTCTCTAGGGTGCACAGTACAGGAGCGGCAAGGGAGCAACAGCATGAACCCTACATTGTCAGGCGGCCTTACCGGGCCAGACAGCCCCTGCCTTAACTCACACGTCGATGCATCTCTTGCAGCCTCCCCAGCATCACGCCTTGCTGTTGCTGCTGCTGCTGCTGCTGCCTGTTCGCCTTCTGCTTTCTTCACGCCCTCCGCTCCTGGTGTTTGCTGCACGCCTGCCTGTGCTGGTGCTTGCTGTTCACCTGCTGCCACTCCTGGTGTTTGCCATGAGGGAGAATGGGGTCACGCCGTGACAGTGCACAAGCCTCCTGCCACGTGGACGTCCCTGATTGGTTTGGAGAAGGTACTGCAGTGGTCGAAAGTGAGGGGAGTATCGGACGAGAGGGAAGTGATTAAGGAAGAGTGGGCGGTGAGAAAGGAAGAGACGGGAGTGAAAGAGGCAAAGCCGAAGGAGGGCGGGTGGGAAGAGGAGGACTGGCGACCGCGCATTCGAGCACGATTGGATGGACAGGCGGTGGGGCTGGGGTGCATACAGGCCAGGAGCATGAAGGAGAGGCACCGCCGCGATCGCATCAGGTGACCGTTCTCTTGCAAAGCGCCTTCCCCTCTCCTTCCCTCCCTTCCTCTCTAACCTTCCACCCCGCTGTTTGCTCCCCTTCGTTCCCTTCTCTTGTCCATTTTCACCCTCCCCTTCCTCCTCCGCCACCACCCGCCCCATTCTCTTCCTCCTCCCCCCCTGTCCACTACGGCTTCCTCCTTCCTTTTTCTTTCCCCTCCCCCTCCTCTTCCCCTCCCCCTCCTCTTCGTGTGGAGCCCTATCTGCCATTTGCATTGGTTGAACATTCAGTGGGCAGTTGGCCTTGTGTGTTACACCTGAGTTACTTGGGAGGCCTGTATCTAGTGAGCATGTGACCATATTTTAATCGTGTGCATATATTGGATGTGATTGTATCAGGAGAGGTCTGGAGAAGCTTCGTAGGGTACTACCCCCATCTCTCACAAGAGCACAACTCGATACAGCCACAATGGTGGAGTCTGCCCTCTCTCACATACGAGACCTACAGGTACACTCACCGGTTTTCTGTACTGTAGTATCTTTCGAATCAATGTTAGCGATTGTTTGCTGACGCGTAAGCATTTTCACAAAATGTGCACGCGATTTGCGTGCCAGGCACGTGTCACCACCTCTTAGAGCTTAAACGGTCTTAGAGTCACCTCGTAGAAGTTTCTCATCAACCAAGGAGCTGTTTCTGGCTTGCAATGGTTTGCTGTTCATGCATCCATGCAGGTCCAAATTGAAGCATTGGAGAACTCGACAGATGCTGCCGTTGAAGCACCGAGATCTGCAGCAGAGGAGGCAGCATGTGGCTCGGCAACGCCCTAGGCGCTTCCAGGGTGACTCCTAAGTCACCTTGCTGCAGTTTCCATGCACTTTCTCAAGAGTACAGACCGTTTCACCTGGTTCTAAGATCTCCAAATAGATGGACCTCAGAGACTGCTGATATCATGGCATGGCATGGCAACGTTTCAGCTGATTTCTTGTTGTGACATGCTGGTTGATTGTAGTTTGTGGTGTATTCAGCTTTATTGACAGGTGAACCAGCATTTTAGTGTGATATAATCTGCATTGTTTGTGCATCTATTGTAGTTCAATAGAGCAGTGCATGACGCCATGCATCACCTGGTTGTAGCATACCATACGACATTGGTTGAACCTTCCTTTCGGGCATTTTCTTGTGCGATGATAATCTGACGAATCTGAGGCCCTGGTTGCATGCGTGGCTGACGATCAATCTCTCAAAGCTGAGTTGTCATCACCCCTTCTCGATTTCATTCACCCCAGCACGAGCGGCAGAAGCATGGCAGAGTCTCCAGGGAACTTCCAGGTGGCGAGAGGGGAGAGCGCCGTGGCTTCCGCGTTGAACTCCGCCACCCGCCCCCCTGCCGCCCGCACCACCCGAGCATACCCCGCTGCTGGCTGCAGTGAGTGTGGGGGGGGAGGGGGGGGGTTGACACAGGAGAAGGGAGGAGGAAAGGCGAGGGGATGGAACAAGGTGAGATGGGAGGATGAGAGAGTGCAGTGCAGCAACCTGACCCACTGACTGCCTCCATTGGCCTGATGAACCCTAGTGCTGGCTACAGGGATGAGCAAGGCAGCAATGAGGATGAGAAGATGAGCTGAATGGTTTGTTGCTGTGGCCAGGGGACAGAGGATTAGGGGTGGAAAGGAGTTGCAGGTGGCAGGGAGGACACAGGGGGGCGGATCATCACACCATGGCCCATCATCACACCATGGCCCATCATCACACCATGGCCCATCATCACACCATGGCCCATCATCACACCATGGCCCATCATCACACCATGGCCCATCATCACACCATGGCCCATCATCACACCATGGCCCATCATCACACCATGGCCCATCATCACACCATGGCCCATCATCACACCATGGCCCATCATCACCATGGCCCATCATCACCCATGGCGTCGCACCATGGCATGGCACAGTGGCATGGCACCCACCGTGGCATGGCACCCACCGTGGCATGGCACCCACCGTGGCATGGCACCCACCGTGGCATCATAGGTGCGCCAGAGCCCACCCGCCCCTCTGAAGGTAGGCACGCCTGATGCTGCAGACACACCCGACCCTGTCAGCACCGCCACACGCTGCACGGAGTCACACACAGGGCAGTGGCCGGAGGGTGAGCAAGGAAAGGCCTCTCACTGTGAGACACGAGGGCGACATGACTGTCCATGAGTACGACCACCAGGAGGGCGAGCAGGAGGAGGGCGAGCAGGAGGAGAGGAGTGATTGCATAGCCGTAGTAGTAGTATGCTGATGGCATGCTGCTGCTAGAGTGACGTGATGATCAAAACTCTTGACTTTAACATGTGTTATGACATGTGATGTTACCATGTCACTCTAAGGGATGAAAATCATGCGGAATCCCATGTTCGCTACATCCTTCTCCACCACCTCCCGGTGCCCTATATTTTTTTTTGGCTGCCCGGAGGATTTTTTTGGCCTGCCCGGGCTTGCGTCTTTTCAAGCGTCTAAATGGCCCCAAGTGGGCGTCCAGCGTCAGCTTCTGGACGCTAGACGCGTCTTTCGTCACATAGCTCTCACAAGGGGTGGTGACAACAAGATTTGCAGGCGCCATCAAGCTATCATCGGTTCGATCACACTTCAATCCTCGGGCCCTGCGCACCCCCTCCGCTTCTTCCCCCCACTTGTCTTCTCATCGCACACCTCCCTCCATCCCTGCAGCACGCCCTTCCACTTCCCGTGTCTGCCCCCCCCCCACCACACCTCAACTTCCTCCCCCACCACACCTCAACTTCCTCCCCCACCACACCTCAACTTCCTCCCCCTCCCGAAACCTCCCGTTAACGTCCCCCTCCTCCTCTTCCCCCAAACTCCCCCTCACTCCACCCCACTCCCCCCTTCCCCCGAGCGGACCCCAAGCTTCAGCACCAACGCGCGCTTCTCACCGATGCTCGCGAAAGGCTCTCTCTGAACTCGTCCACGTCAGCCTGACGTGGCTCGCCATTAGTCACGGCTGACGTCATCCTTCGCAAAGCCCCTCCTCGCCAGCCAGTCAGAAGCTTCGTGTCCTTTCCTGGGTGAGACCGGGCTGTACTACAATCTAGGAAAGACAGAGTTGTGTAAGATCCACTATGCCGAGCCTGCTGAGGCTCGGACGTGGTGGTTGGAATGCCTCCGAGCCTCGAAGGTCTGGGCTGAGAAGAGAGCGGTTCGACGAGGGTGCGCGGCAGACGGACGACAGACGCGCACCCGTTGCGCGCATGGCGAGGGACAGCCCGCCGTGGAGTCAGTGCATGTGAACACGCCCTAGTCGTGATGCGAAGAGCTGCGCGGTTAATACTGAGGAGGCGCTACGCGGAAGCTTCCAATTCACGGTGACGTGGGGCTCGGGCAAGGGGGAGGGGGGTTCGTTGCGCGGTCAACGCGACGAGATGCTCGCGACGCGAGTGGTAACGCGGATTGAAGCGAGAGCGGCGCGGGGAACCAGGCAGGATGAGGGTGAAGGGCGGAGTATGCGCGTGAGCTACTTCCGTCCATGCCTCGTCTGCAAATAGCAGCCGCCAACGCCGAAGTAGTGTTCTGCGCGGCTCGCGAAGGTGGGCAAGCAGTGTACTTAAAGGGGTGAAATGCGGTAAAGGACAACGTTTGGCAAAAAATAAAGTTTTTTCTTTAACAAAGCTTGGTAAATAGTAAGTGCGTGGGATCAGGGCACTCGTTATCAGGGTAAAATACCCTTTTTGCACTGACTGGCGGCCGCTTTTTTTCAGTTACCCGTTCACAGACAGAGTAGTGGTTTTTTAACCCTAGGCCAGAAAGTGTAAGTTTTTTTGTACCCTTTGAAAAACAGCGTAAGGAACATATTTCCCTGACTGTACAGTGTACAATCCCAGTAATACTGATACCGAATGCTACGTAGCGAGACGAAACACTATGCGGGCCCCTGCAAAAGCACTTCAACATGCTAGAACCTGCGCCTTTCAGGCTCTATTCCCTAACACACCAGCTGAGCCACTAAGCCTTAATCTTACTAAACTCAGAAATATTTATACAGTAATTTCTGAAAAAAATACCCTTGCCAAACAGTGTTACAGTTTTTTTACCCTGTATTTGTCAGGGAAACAAAAATTTTACCTTAGGCATCAGGGTTGACTATACCTAGAACCCTGATTACTAAGGGTGGCCCAAAACGAATCTGAAGCCCTGCGTGGGATTCTATAATTTGAGCTGAGAACTGCTTACAACATCCACCAAACGCACTCCTGCATCCCACTCCCTGCGTTCTCCTATATGTGCTCATCTTGTCTCACATAACAATGCACAATGAAGACGATCAGCAATTGGTAGCAACGGACTGGACTTGGGCATCACATCAGCACACCTGCCTAGCTTTCACATCTCAATGCAATCCAACTTCGTGCAACTTTCACCACTCGCTGGCCAACCACACGTCACCAAGTGGCGGCTCCCTGGGCACAGGAGGCATGGCAATCACATCATCTGCACCCAGCCGGATGCCAAACCGGCCCCTCACCACCGCACTGAACTCATCGTCTGTTGCCAGCTGCTGCTGCCTCTGATCACGGGAGAAAGAGGATGCATGCGCATGAAGTGGATGAGATAAAGGAACGTGAACAAGGAAACATGTACCCGGTGCGTTAACAAGGACACACACAACCGGTCATTAATATGGAACCACACACCTGGTGCGTTAACAAGGACACACGCATGCACCCGATGCGTTAACAAGAAAACATGCAACATATGTGCAACCTCCTCACCCTTACCTGCCTTCCACCTTTACCTGCCTTACCAACCCCTCCGCGTACTCGCCCCTCTCACCAGCACGCACCCCTCTCACCTGCACGCGCCCCTCTCACTGGCACGCGCCCCTCTCACCTGCACGCGCCCCTCTCACCAGCACGCGCCCCTCTCACCTGCACGCGCCCCTCTCACTGGCACGCGCCCCTCTCACCTGCACACACCCCTCTCACCTGCACGCGCCCCTCTCACCTGCACGCGCCCCTCTCACCTGCACACGCCCCTCTCACCTGCACGTGCCCCTCTCACTTGCACGCGCCCCTCTCACTGGCACGCGCCCCTCTCACCTGCACGCGCCCCTCTCACCTGCACGCACCCCTCTCACCTGCACGCGCCCCTCTCACCTGCACGCGCCCCTCTCACCTGCACGCGCCCCTCTCACCTGCACGCGCCCCTCTCACCTGCACGCGCCCCTCTCACCTGCACGCGCCCCTCTCACCTGCACGCGCCCCTCTCACCTGCACGCGCCCCTCTCACCTGCACGCGCCCCTCTCACCTGCACGCGCCCCTCTCACCTGCACGCGCCCCTCTCACCTGCACGCGCCCCTCTCACCTGCACGCGCCCCTCTCACCTGCACGCGCCCCTCTCACCTGCACGCGCCCCTCTCACCTGCACGCGCCCCTCTCACCTGCACGCGCCCCTCTCACCTGCACGCGCCCCTCTCACCTGCACGCGCCCCTCTCACCTGCACGCGCCCCTCTCACCTGCACGCGCCCCTCTCACCTGCACGCGCCCCTCTCACCTGCATGCGCCCCTCTCACCTGCACGCGCCCCTCTCACCTGCACGCGCCCCTCTCACCTGCATGCGCCCCTCTCACCTGCACGCGCCCCTCTCACCTGCACGCGCCCCTCTCACCTGCACGCGCCCCTCTCACCTGCACGCGCCCCTCTCACCTGCACGCGCCCCTCTCACCTGCACGCGCCCCTCTCACCTGCACGCGCCCCTCTCACCTGCACGCGCCCCTCTCACCTGCACGCGCCCCTCTCACCTGCACGCGCCCCTCTCACCTGCACGCGCCCCTCTCACCTGCACGCGCCCCTCTCACCTGCACGCGCCCCCTCTCACCTGCATGCGCCCCTCTCACCTGCACGCGCCCCTCTCACCTGCACGCGCCCCTCTCACCTGCACGCGCCCCTCTCACCTGCACGCGCCCCTCTCACCTGCACGCGCCCCTCTCACCTGCACGCGCCCCTCTCACCTGCACGCGCCCCTCTCACCTGCACGCGCCCCTCTCACCTGCACGCGCCCCTCTCACCTGCACGCGCCCGTGGCCATCCAGCAGCAGCAAGTGGCGGTCGCGGATCATCTCGCGAATCACCCCCCTGCCCTCCGCCTCCACCTCCCCCTCACTGCACACGCGCACCGCCACACGCGGCCCGCCCAGGGGCGAGGCATGGCGCATGCACTGCAGAGAGCGGCGGGTGGGAGGGAGGGCAGAGCAGGAAGAGAGGGGCCGGGAAAGGGCTGGCTAGAAGCAGTGGGTGGCAGGGGCGGGTATAGAGGCGAGCATGCAGCTGTACTAGCGCTGGTGCCGTGGCATGCTTGCTATGTGTGCGCGACCTCATGGCACAGGCAGAAGGGAAGGAGGCGAGAGAGCCAGGGAGAGGCGGGAGCACCTGGAGGAAGTGAGCTGTGTCACGCGGCCACGTGGAGAAGCGATACAGCGGCTGCCACTGCGCCTCCTCCTCACAAGCGGCCTCCCCCCATGCCGCCTGCTCGCCATCTGCTCCTACCCATCGACCGCCTGCTTCACTGGGCCCCACGCGGCACAGCCTCTCCACCGCATACCACTGCTCGCCTGCCCTCACCGCTGCTGCCTGTCCACCTGCAGCATGCGTGAGCCACGGTGGGCATGGTGCTGTGTCGCCACCCAAGCCCTCCCTGTAGAAGGCATCATCATCATCATCATCATCATCATCATCATCATCGGGGTCTGAATTGGAGTCTGCGTCCAAGCCAGCACTCCCCTCACCCATGCGCCCATCCATTCCTCCCTCTACGTGCTCCACTTCCCACCCTTGCACACCGCCTTCTACCGCCCTCCATCCTTCCCTGCCCCTGTCCGCTGCTGCTACTGCTGCTACTGGCTTCTCCTGGCTCTCAGCCGTGCATGCAGGCGCCACACTCACAGCCCCCGCACCTCTTCCGTGCCCCCAAGGGGCTGCCATGCCAGGTGCTGGCGGGTGGGGCGGGGCGCATGGGGATATGCGGTACACCCCCGCGTCCTGGTGCTGTGGGGGAGAGGAGTGGTGGGATTGAGAGGTGGCATGGAGAGGAAACGCTTGGGTGAGGAGAGAGAAGGGGTGGGAGTGGGAGTGGCACATCACAGCAAGGAATGGAGGGACGTGTGTAATAAATGGAGATGGGAGGAGAGGGGAAGGAGCGGCGTGCCTGGTGGATGCCGGGTTGGAAGAGCAGTGGCTCCAAGAACATGGGGTGGGGCACAAGGCTGCTGGGGCAGCAGGGCGTGCTGACGTCAGCGAGCCATGCCATGCCGTTGATGTGCACCAGCAGACACATCTGCATGCGGTGAGGGGGGGAGGAACGGGGGGTGGTGGGGCAACGCATGGTGAGAGGGCATGTGCATGCATGAGTACACATGATAGCGCATGCGGTGGGAGGGCTTGTGAAATAATGGGGTGGGGTGGGAGGGAGGGCGTGGGTGGGAGTGCATGGAAGGAAAAGGGCTTGAGAGTGGACGCAATAGAATGAATTCGTTCGACAAGTGTGAGACTGGCAGAGTGAAGAGTTGAGAGATTCTGAATGCCATGAAATGGGTGGGTGATTGGTTGGGTTGTTGTATGGTTAGTTGGTTGGCGGCTAGGTGGGTGGTTGGATGGGTGGGTGTGTGGGTACAGGGCAGAAAGGTATAGGAGGAGCCAAGTGAGATGGCTCACTCACATCGTACATGGTCTGCCAGCTCTGCACTTGCTGATGAGGCAGCTGCACTAGCTGACTGGACAGGCTGCTGCGCTGAGTCAGCAGGAGATGAGAGGCGAGCCACGCAGGCAGCCGCATCGTCCGGCGATGGCGCTGCTGCAGGGGAGGCAGCATTCAAAGTAGCAGCCGGTACAGGTGGTGGACGAGAGGATCGCCGGGAGGAGGACGGAGGGGAGTGGTGGTGGCGGGGCGAGTGTGGCGAGTGGCAGGAGAGGGCGGGGAGGAGGTCGACCTGGCAGGCGAGGTGGTGGCGGAGCACCCAGGCGAACAGCACGTTGGACTGCAGTCCACGCACACAGGAGAGGGGGGGTGGGAAGGAACGGTGATTGGATAGGGGTGAGCTTACGGGGGCCCGTGGTGCTCTGCGCGGCCTTAACAGCTCCTGACGGGCCCTGTGCTGTGGCGTGGCTGAACAGGACGAGGGCGTCGGTGCAAGCGGGAAGGAGTGTTGCAAGCTGGCGTGCGGGAGAGGTGAGTGAGGCAGGATGGCGAGGGTGAGGCAATGGGAGATATGGTGATATGCTGCGAGCGACGATCAGCACGTGGCGTTCTCCAAGACTCCTTCACCACTTCTGCATCATCAACATCACAGCATCGCAACATGCGTTTCCCTGCCGTGCTTCACGCCCTCCCCATGTCCGCGCCTCATGCGAGCATGCCCCTCACACCCGCCGCGGCCTCACGTCCCGTGCGCCCCCCCTCACCTCGAAGCACGAGCCTCCGCGCTGAGAGCACACCATCTTGCGGTACAGCGCGCGCGCGCCCAGCGCTGCAGGGCTGTCCGCCACGGGCCTGCATAATGCAATGCCGAGGGCACGCCACACACGCGAGGGAAGGGGAGCGCAGGAGGCGTGAGCGACAGAGTGCGTGCAGCATGGCATCTGAAGTGCATCGCCCGCACGCCCAGCGCGGCAGGCTCTCCACCTCACCGGGCCTTCATGCTGCAGGGAAGGCGCGGGACACAAGCGCCATACTGCGAGAGTGGATGAGAACACGCAGCAGCCATCCGCGCAAGACGCTGCAGGCGGCGGAGGTCGGGCTGGAGGTCAGACGGCAGTGGCGATGCGCGAGAAACGGGTATGCGGGCGAGGGCCGGGGGTCAGGTGGTTGGAGCGGGTTGGTGTTGACGGTGGTGGAAGGGAACGACTTGCTGACGGTGGTGGAAGGGAACGACTTGCTGAAAAGGAAGGCATCTCACGAGAGCACGTCCAGAGGAATGTTCCTCGCATGTTCCTCATGAAGCTGTCGAAACAGCCCCACGACGTCCTCTCCCCACGCCTCCCCCCCTCCCCCGTCTTCCCCGGCCCCTCCGCCTCCCTCTCCCCTCACCGTCCCCCACATTCCGCCCGCCACCCCCCCGCGCGCACACCCCCGCCGGTAGGGGTCAAGGCGCGCGGGCAGCGGGCCGGCGTGGCGTAAGCGGAGAAGGTAGCCGCGGAGCATCTTGAGCGGCGAGGGGCCTTCCGCCTGCTCATGCGCGTCCCATGAGCGCGTCGCATGCATGGCGTGGGTGGGTTCACCGCTGGTGTCGCTGTGTCGAGGGGGGTGGGGGAGGGGGAAGGCACGGAGTGGCGCGATCGCACGAGGATGTGCGGGCAGTTGGGGCGCTGGGGTTGATGCAGATGGGGAGGGGGAGTGAGGGGAAGGGGGGATGAGGTGAGGACCTGCAAGAAGGCGGAGTGCTTGCAACAATCCTGGTGGCACGGCGAGGGGAAAAGATCATGCAGGGGCCGAACAGTGCCAGAGGGGTGATCAACCAAGGGCCAAGAGGCCCGAAAAATACCAAACCGCTGCACAAAAAGATATTAACAGAGAGGTCTCGTTTGTTGCACGTAATTCTGTTACTAGTGGCATGCACTGGCTAGCATTTTCGCTCGCGTGTCGTTTAGCGAGCCGACTCTGCTGGGAACTCTTAGGGCAGCAAAAAAACTAAAACCCATAGGGAATCTGGATGCAGTTTCGGGATGGATCAACCCTAAAAATGCGGACCTTCCTGGTTTATTTAGGGTTGATGCCTCCCGAGGCGCATCCGTTTCCGAATGGGTAATATTATTTTTTACTGTGCGTTTTCGATCGCGTTGGTGATATGTATCAACCATAATAAAATATGTTGTTACGTACTCACGATTTGACACGCCGAATTTTAAATCCAGAACAAGGCGACGCGCGCGCTGTAGTTGACGGCGGTCAAAACCCTTATTGAAGAAGTTTTACACGCAATTCGGTTTCTTCAGCAATTCTCTTTGAATCACGGTTCGGCTTGTTCGCCCAGCCGTGCGGGCAGCTCCGGGTTGAAATCCTACGGTCGAGATTTTCCGACCCTACTTTGATCACCCCTCTGGCACCGTTCGGCCCCAATATGATCATTTCCCCACGGCGAGTTTGGTTTTTGGGTCGAACTTTGCCTCATTACACTCAGACAGTCACCCTGTCCAAAAATGATATCGAGCTGTAGAACCCTTACGTCGCACCTAAGGGGGTGTCCAGCTCGTACATTTACTGTTCGTGAACCCGCTCAGTTACCACATTTTTGTTGTAACACTGTATTGAACGTGTCCTTCGGACACAATCAGCTTTCGTTCACAAGACGGCACGCCCCCTGCACGTACCTAGCATCGTCTGACTCACGTTACTGGAATCAGCGGGGACGCGAACAAGGGTACAGCACCGCGTCCTGGCCACTACAGTGGTCCCCCCTGAATCGCTTGCGCAATTTCGCCAGTAGCTCGCTACAATCGCCAACACCCCCCCGCCTGCCAAAAAATTCGTTAGCTATGATTGACGAGGGAAACTGTTACCTCGTTTCGAAAGCGATCAGAGCACTGTTGATTCGTGTGGCGGGGAACGTGTCCGCGCTCCTGAAATTAGAGGTAGGTTGGACTCAACTCACAATGCATTCGTTTTTAGGTACAGTGATTATATTTGAGCCTCGAGACGTGTGCTGGCACTAAAAAACCCGAAATGAACGAACTGAACACGCCCTAACTACCGCGCACAGTTCTGTTCACGGCCTCATGCATATCTTGTTTCTTCGCCATCAGACGAAATCCGTTGAATCTCCCTAATGTGTTACCCTGTTGTCAGCCAGGCCCAGTGAATGACGTCACGTGGAATGCTTCTTCGCAAAATGTCGCCACCCGAAACCACTCTGCATTGTGGAAAATCGCACATCAACCAAAGCCAGGAAACCTTGAAAGCAGCGGGGAAAATACTTCAGACTGATCAGGTGCTTGCTGTGACGATGATCGCCACAGCAACATCGACCATAATAGCCTCTGATGCCATTTTTTACAGGTCACTACATTACAAAGGCCACGTAGTTTAGTCGGCCACAATAGTGAGAAGAAAGTCGGATTAGGGTTAGTTTGCGCAACGTGAGGGAATAGCGGACGTATCCACCCTTGATTGCCCAAGTCCGCTGACGTGGACACATTAACATAGACAGCCCGTCACACTTGGCGCGAGGAAGACCTTTTCGACACTCGCTAGAGACACATACCGCGACGCGCAGGCGATAGATACACATACCTCGACGCGCAGGTGAGGGAAAATAACCAGTTTAGGATGGGAGCTTAGCACCAGCCCACGCACATGCATAAAGAGCAGGGCTATGTGATGACGCGCAGGCCGCATTCACGGAGATGGGCGAAGACGCACTACCGTCCGAATCGCGTTCTGATCCTTCCTCTCCATGTATTTATATTTTCCCACCACTCCCTGCTCAAGTCTGTTTCACACCATTCCGAGGGGGACACCCATACCCTCCTTCCTCCCCTCATCTACCTCCCCGTCCTTCACCTCCTCTTTTCAACACCGCGCCATTCCGTCTCCGACTACCCATGGGACCTTACTCCCTTCGTCTCCCACCCCCTCCTTTCCCTCCTAGTTTCCAATCCCCTCCTTTCCGTCCGCGCCCTGCCGCGTTCTCCCATCCGCAATCGCCGTCCGCATTCTGTCATTCGCATGCGCATTCCCGCAGTATGGTATTCGCACGCGCCCAGCCGCATTCACTCCCCCTATCCTCATGCCCCCCCTTTCAATCTCCCTGCTTCGTGTTCCCCCTTTCTTTTTCCATACCTTGTGAAGCCCCCTTCGTTCGTATTCTTTTTGAAAATGAAAGGGGCTTCCTCTGAATTTGCATACCGAGTGCTCCCTTACAGTGCCTACGGCCCTCAAGCCCCGTTTCATTTTCCCGGCCTCGGAAAACCCCTTTCATTCAGCATGGCTAGTGTATCCCCTGTCATTAGTGTATCCCCTTTCATTCAGCATGGCTAGTGTATCCCCTTTCATTCAGCATGGCTGGTGTATCCCCTTTCATTCTCTCTGCCTCATGTTTCCCCTTCTGAGTTTCCCTAATGTCTCCTCCCTTTCACATTCTTCTCATCCCATCCGTGTGTTCCCCCTCTGAATCTCTCTACTGCCTGCAGCTAATAACCATGGCCTCTCAGCCCCACGTGAGGTATGCGCGTGTCCCTAATTCAGACTCTGACGCTGCTCCCGACTTCGCCGCAAGCGCATCCGCCGCTCCTCCGTCGACCGCAGGAAGAGCGCGAGGCTCCAACGATGCGGATATCCGCTTCGCTGGTCCGGACATCCACAGGCGCGTCCCGAAGCGGTCGGTGCTGCTCGCGCTGTTCCTGCTGTTCCTGGGGTGCGCGTCGCTAGCAACGTTCTACCTCATGCAGACGGGGCAGGTGGAGGCTGGCGCGCAGCAGAAGTGGACGTGCCTCGCCATCGCCTTGCTCACGCTTATGCCCGGTGAGCCTTCCTCACGGTCATGCCCGGTGAGCCTTGCTCATGCTCATGCCCGGTGAGCCTTGCTCACGCTCATGCCCGGTGAGCCTTGCTCACGCTCATGCCCGGTGAGCCTTGCTCACGCTCATGCCCGGTGAGCCTTTCTCACGCCTGTCCACCATCCTCACCTCTCCGTCGCTCTCTCGCCGTCAACTTTCTCTCGCGACAACCTCCCACCACTACTAGTATGGCATGCCTCTCTCGCTTGGCCTAATGACCCCTCACCTATTGCTGGCGTATCCACCATGCATGCTGTCACCCATCATGCGTGACAGCACCACGCTATGTGGCATCCGTTTTCCCAGCCATATAGCTAGTCTTGAGGCCCCTTAAAGCCACATAACTAGCTTGAGGCGCCTCAAAGCTTAGATGGATTTGACGGAACCAGTGTTTTTATGCTAGAGTCAAAATGCTACTTTTTTTTTACGCTTGACTCGAACCTGTGGGAGATTGACGCTGGTTATGACACTCAGGAGGGAAGGCGAAAAAAAAACCAGGGGTGGGGGAGGGGAGGGGGAAGAAGATAAGAAGGTAGATAAGGTGGCGGGCAGCCAAGATAGAGATTTTTTCCCCCCAAAATGAGGCTCAATAAAAAAGAGCATGCATACATTGTTCTCACACTACTGGTACTACTACCACCATCCCTCCTCCCCAACCTATCACAGGTAGGGTCCCAAACCGCAATGTAGGGAAGTTTGGGTTTTGCAGGTTGGCGTTTCTGGGCTGTGTGGTGCCGATTGGAATTCTGGAGTCGCGTTTTTGGCTCGATTCCCAAAAATGTTTTTTTGGCCGGAAAATAAATTCAGTACGTTTTGATGCTGCACGCTGGCCCTTTCTAGTGTCAAATCCATCTAAGTCTAAAAGCCACATGGCTTGCCTTAACTTTCCCTGTTCGGTGTTGTCACCATTGCTGTTGCCGTGCTGCTGCTGTTGTTTGCTGAAACGTTCCTCAGATTCATTCGTCATTCTGTCATATATATGTATTAACACAACTCAGCCCTTACGTTGTCCATGCACGCAATCATTAGAGCTCTGATTTCAGTACCCCCTATTCCACTTCCACTCCACCCCTTTCTCTCACTCCGCATAGCGTGTCGTTGGCGTTTCACTAGTCATCCCCACTCTGTCCCATTCACATCTAAACCGCTTCTGATAGTTCCCAAAAACGGCTCAACTCATGAGTTAGTCACTGCATCAGCTGAAGCATTTACTTGCATGCATCGCCTCTGGGTCCATGCATCGCCTCTGGGTCCATGCATCGCCTCTGGGCCCATGCATCGCCTCTGGGTCCATGCATCGCCTCTGGGTCCATGCATCGCCTCTGGGTCCATGCATCGCCTCTGGGTCCATGCATCGCCTCTGGGTCCATGCATCGCCTCTGGGTTCAGAGACCAACGGATTCTGTGCCTTTGCCTGCCACTGCGTAGCTCTCTTTATCACCCAAACCTCTGTTTCTGTGTCTGCTCCTCCACTCCTCCGACCCCGCCCGTCACTCAATAAGACTGGCATCATTCGTTCCTCCTTTTTATGTTTTTTTCTTCATCCCCGTGCCAATATTGCAGGCTTTTATGAGAGCCGCATTGCGTATTATTCGTGGAGACAAGCCCCAGGATACTCTTTCGCACAAATACCTTGCTACTAGTACCTTCATCTGGATGAGCCTCCACGTTGGTGCTCTAAAGCTGAAGGCCTGCATACCTGTGTGTTGTCCGTTCACTATTTTAGGGAATGTGCTTGTTCAATGTTCTCAAATGTAGGTACGGTACTATGATCTGCACACATAAGCACATAATATGTTTATAAGATCCAAAATCAGTACCTGGCAGTGCAAGCTTTACTCGGAAAGGAGGAAGCAGCAAGCCCCAACACTTATTCACTGCCATTAATGCAGCATCTCTTGCCGAGTACAAACATGGTTTCCCTGTCAACGAGTAAACTAATGCGGCGCCACACCCAAGTGCTAATGAAAGCTGCAGCTTCCTGACGCCCTTCCCTCCACACACGTTCACTGCGCATAGTGCAGCGTGGCCTCAGCAGAGTGTTAGGGCATGTTCCTACGGCCCCTTATCAGGCGAACCTCTTGTTAGATTCGCGTCGCAACGCACTGGAACATATGTAATAAGATTCGATCGCACTGAAACGCATGGAACCGCACAAGTATGACAAGAGGTCGGCTGATAAGGGGCCGTAGGAACACGCCCTGAAGATAGTAAGGTATGATGGTTGACTAAGGCAATTAAGAGTACAAGTAGAAACCCTAAAGGGTTATACCGTATTCCCCCGGATATAAAACCCTAGGGTGTTATGTAAATCCCCTTGTAAAATGAGGGGGGGGGGGGGGGGGGGGGGGGGGGGGGGGTCCTAACAAAGGAAAAAAATATATACTACCCGGGTGTTCTCTTATGACACAATTGTTTTTTAGTGTTTTGAACACAACTGTTCATACTGAACTTGCTGGTCTGCTTTTGGCGAGCAACAAGAGAGCGGATCGTTGTTCACTTGGAATGACACTTGACCAGTCACAGCGTTGCCGGAAACCCTCGACCAGTCACAACGCTTTCGCCTCTGACAGCTAAATCCCCCCCTCACACAGCAAATTCGCCCTCTGACGCAGCAAATTCGCCCCCTGATGCAACGAATTTCGCCCCCTGACACTGCAAATTCGCCCCCTGGCGCAGCAGATTTACCCCCTGTCTCTGCGAATTCACCCCCAGACAATCCAATACGCATCATAACATGTTTCAGTTTAAATTGTTGATTAAAAATCCACATGGAAAACCCCCTATAGAGGAAAGGGGGGGGGGTCTTATATTGTTCACCCCTCAAAAGGGGGGTATAACGATTTCGAGGCTTAATAAACACTCCCCCCCGTATTAGCTACCCGGGGGTGTTCTATTTTGGGGGGGTCTTATATCCGGGGGAATACGGTACTCTTCAATGAGGGAACATTAGGGCCTTGACATTTCACAAAAGTTAGCGTCACAATCGATTCTACCGCACAGCATCGTATTACACCAAATTTCACCCAAGTATCGAACATTGTCAACAAAAATCAAACTTTGGTATAGTTCGGTACGGAGCGGTACATTTGATTGCGACGTGAACTTTTGTGACGCGTCAAGGCCCGAAAGTTCCTTAAGTACCCCAATGTAGCCTACAGATATATATAATGCTTGACACAGCAGCATTCTTAGGCACGGGTGGAGCACGCTCTTTCGGAGGATTTTGCCACATTGTGTGATGATGAGTTAAGTCCGGCAGGAAAAACTGATGAAACATAGAGGTCAGAAATGCCTGATAAGCCGGAATGCTGAGCATATTATGTAGTAGCTGCGGTAAGTCCTCTGAGGCCTGATGTTCCTGAAGTAAGTGTTGTATTGTTGCTGATGCAACCAGTGGACAATGCTTGATAGCCTTGAAAGTATCTTGTAAAGAGAGCCAATTGTAGATTTGCAAAGTGATTCCTTGAGCACACAGATTCAGCAACAAGATATTAGTCAATGAAGCATTGGAGATTGATGACTTGATAAACTTGAAGATGAGCGACAGGGAGTTGGCTTCTTCGAGACCTTCTCCCTTACCCCAAAGATGACCAATCTTCGGGTACTGCTGCACGTCGCTGCTCAGCGTGACTACGAGCTTCACTATCTTGACCTCAGCACAGCTTTCTTACAAGGCAGCCTGCACGAGGACATCTGGCTGCGCCACCCACCTGGCTTCACTGTGTCGTTTCCTGCACGTACCCAGTGGAGCCTCCATCGGCCAGACTACGGTCTCCGCCAGGCGCCTCGCGAGTGGCACGACACATTGAGGACGACACTTACGGCTCTTGGGTTTGCTCCTTCTACTGCTGACCCGTCGTTGTTTCTACGCACCGACACTTCGCTGCCGCCATTCTACATCCTCGTGTACGTCGACGACTTGGTCTTTGCCACTGCTGACACTGAGGTGTGATGATAGGTAAACAGGAATGAAATGACTAAGTCAGAAATTGGTACAAATGGGAAACCTAATTGTGTTGTACCCCTTATGGGATACCCCACTGTAGCCTACACAAACAGGTAAGCTATATGTTCTGACACACCCCCATAGGCAAAGTGGGGGAGAACAAGAGGTCACAAGACCAGTCAAGCAAAGCAAAGCAAGCTCGGGGTGGATCACAAAGTCACCACACAGTCCGAGCACAAGAGCAAGGCCAAAGGCCAGTTCACATGCAAGAGTACAGACATATATATAAAGCAAGACAAGCAAGAGCAGGTATATATATGTCACAGTACAAGTAAAGTCAAGAAGAGAGCAAGTGAGGCAAGACAGGCACAAGACCCAGCTGGGTACAACAGCGCTGATGGTCACAAGGCGCCAGTGCCTTGGTGAACACATCAGCAGTGTTGGCCTCAGAGGCCACGTACGCAAGTCGCAACTGACCACGCTGCTGCAGCTCACGAGCAAGGAAGTAGCGGAGAGCAATGTGCTTCGTTCTGTGCTCCAAGCGCTGCTCTCGACACAAGGCCAGCATGGCCTTGTTGTCTACGTACAGCACTGGAGGAGAACGAGGCGGCTCTCCAAGGTCAGTCAGCAGGTAGGTGAGCCAGCGAAGCTCCTGTGCAGCCATGGCCCCGGCGTAGATCTCAGCCTCACAACTGGAGCCGAGAACCGAAGACGAGCGAGTAGACCGCCACGAGACAGAGCCGGAACCAAGGCTGAAGGTGTAACCCTGTGACGACCGCTGCGTAGCCTGGTCGTCAGCCCAAGAAGCGTCCGCGTGGCCTGTAAGGACCACTGGACTGCGCCCTCCAAGCACTAGCCCCATGCCTGACGTACTGCACAGGTAGCGCAATACCCTCTTCGCTGCAGCCATGTGCTCTGGTCGGTGTCTCCCAGGAGCAACATAGCGTGCAAGGATGCTCAGAGGGTATGCGAGGTCGGGTCGTGTGCAGGTCATCAGGTACATGAGGCAGCCAACAAGCTCTGCATACGGACCACTCGACTCTACGGACTCATCCGAAGGCAGAGCTGAGAGTGAGTGGCGAGTAGGCAGAGGAGTGGCCTGAGGCGAGGAGTACGTGAAGCCGAAGCGCTGAAGGACCTGCTGCACCATGTGTGACTGAGTCAAGGTGATGGTGCGGCGTGCTCTGTCCCGAGTGATCTGCAAGCCAAGGTAGCTGCGCAGTTCACCCAGGTCTGTGCACGTGTGTCTCTTCAGTAGCTCGGACT